AACAATCAACCAAAGTGTTTACAAGTACTAATTCTAACAGTTTCTAAAGCGGCAATCCTATTCCTGTTTGTACAGAAAAAAAGTCTATAACCCCCTGCATTCCCCATGCTGCCTGAAGAATTATGGCAGTTGTCAGACTTCCTTCTGTCTAAGCATGCATAAGAGTGTACCCTGCATCATGCAAACTCTCCTTGGGAAAACTGGTGTTGCACTTCTTCCCAACAAAAGCAATCACTCCAGTTGAAACTACAAATGTCTTTATTCTAAACAGTATTACAATTACAGTCACACAGGCTAGAAAGCTGTCCTCTCGTTTTAAGTTCAACCCACACTGCGTTTATGAAACCTTTGTGGCCAGCCCTCCAAGGGCGGAGCGCTGTGACCCCTCTCTTTGCATTGCTCAGTCTCAATTCTAGCTGTCCCAGTCTGAGTGTGTGCCTGTGAGAACAAGCATCCTCAAAAGTCCCTTGCCTCTTATCTCCTTGGTTCTCACATTCCATCTCAGCAACTTGCGAGACTGTTTTCCCATCTACTCCCAAATTGACCTCTTCGCGCGCCTCTGTTTTGACTGCTCCCCAAACCTCCTCATCTGGCTCATTCTCAGCCTCAACCTGTGTGAAACTGGGGAGTAAAGATTGTTCTGCTGATACCAGAAATAGCTCTTCATCAACACTCTGGTTCTCATGGGAAGTTTCCTCCTCTTGTGTGTGTGCAAGGGACTCTGAGTGTGTGCACACAACAACTGGGGCAAAATTTATCAAAACTGGCCGTGTGTTTCTGGAAGGTCATGGTTCACAGCTGGAAAAACGTAACCCAGACACTCAAGCATTTGGTGCCAGAAACCATCAAGGAACCTAAAAGAATGTTTTGAATCCCATGTATAACAGCTGAAGATTATATAGTTTAGTGTGGCCAAGGAAATGAAAATATTTCCCCAACACTCTTTATAAGCTTGTTCATAAACAATTCTTGGGCATGGCAAAATTATCTAAGAATTATAAAATTTACAATACATTCCTGTTGGACCTTATAGACCATCCTTTTATTGTAGCTCTCTGTAGGCTACAATACTAGAGGAGCACAACTCCCCACATCCCCCAAAAGGGACAGCTGGCACAGCATTCAGCTTCCTAAGAATCTCAGAGCCAGACTACACATGTCATCAGAAAAACTATTATGCTTTTATTTTAAAGTTGCATAGTAAATACAGTTAGTATAATTTGTATTGGGGCAAAACAGAGCAGTTCAGCCAGTATCATAATTTAAATCTTGTGCACGCAGTTATTAGCCACTTCCCCCACCAAAGAATTTCAGTCTACATGCTCAATGAATGCACATACCTAGAGGAAGGCAACACAATCTGTCCCTTCCCCTGCATGTGGCCTTAATGCGAAGCCATGCGGGCCAGTTGTACCTGAGAGGGTTTCTATCAAGATAATGACAGAATGCCCAAATAGCATTAAATTCTCTCAGTAAGTTTCTCACACACCTCACCTGCTTGTTCTTATTAATGAGCCAAGTAACAGGCATATGGGAGTGAACAATTTGGGCAGCTAAGGTATAGGCTCTGCCAAAACCTTAACCACACTTTCTATCAGAAGTTTTAAGAGCTCTGTCCCTCCACTTTGAACAGTAGCAGTAGCCCTCGAACTCTTGCTCAATGGAAATGTCAATCCTGTTTAAAAATTAGTTCCTAACAGCAGCTGTAATGCGAGTCACAGAGGCCTAATCTGATTGGATTTTGAAGTCATTTGTGTTCGGTTATCTTTTGCCTTTCCATGGCCTTTGAGGCCTACTCTATAAACACTGCTGGGCTGTACCTGTGGAAATACACAGTGACTAGCTTCACTTCATACATCTGGCAAGAGGGCCCTAACTTATAAAACTTATGCCAGTTTATGGTAGTCATTCAGATACCACTTAGAGGATCATCCCAGGAATGAGATTGCACTTAGTGGTCGCTGCTCTTCCTTCCAACAGGCATCTATGTCGAAAGGGGTTTAATACTTCCTCTCACAATGAGAACCTTGACACATGCTGAAAGACACACAGTGCATGTTGTTACATGCAGTGAGAGCACGGCCAGGGCATGGAATGGCCACCAGCTGCATTAGTGATGGCTCTACAATCCCCCTTACTCAGTTGTTTGAACTTGTGGAGTTTTGTGGGATCATCCAAACCCTTTTCATTAACCATCCAAATGACAGAGAATATTTTAACTATTACTAATTTCTTCTTTTTCTGTGAGTCTTACATGGAAAGAACATTCCAGAGGTTTATCATCAACTAATTCACTCAGGTCCCTGATGAAATAAGCTGGGTGGAGTTTATCTTTCTAAACAAACACAAGTTCTGGCTACCAAATATTCATGTGCTGTGCTGCTGACCAACCCCACAATCACATCTTTCTTTCTTGGTTAATATTCATTTTGGCAACAACAATGGCTTCTCACATTCCTTTGCACTCCCCATCTGCTACTAGCAGGCATGAAGCATCTACCCTTGATGTAGTTCTTGCAGATGACAGTCATATGTGCTCCTCACACTCATTCCTCCTGGCGATACAGTCAGAACATAACATGAGAAGCCCTGCCAATGAATCAGAAACCTCTCCTGCTGTGCATCTTATGCAATCTGCTCTAACTAGTGTTGTGGCAGCCCCAAGAAAGAGGAGATCTTTTAGCCCCACTAAACACACACAATAGGGTCCAACACGTTCATTTCCTGATCAGTCAATCTCTGTCAAGTAACTCACTTGGTTTCATGCCTGATCTGACTAGTTGTCTTCACCTTTACTCTTCTAGCTCACATACGAATCAAAACTGAGGGCAATCACAGCCTCCTAGCATTGTTACAATGCCACGTAAAAGATGGGAGTGGAAAGCTCTCATATATAGATAATTTATGGGCATGTAGTACTAGGGAAAAGTATCTGAGTGATCTGTTTTAAGTTGATTTACTCACTGCTGCCAGACTTGTTTGCATAGGCTGTTTTTGTTATTTTAATCATTTTATCTTAATCGATTAAAAATAATATGGTCTCAAAGAAGACCGCATCCTCTACTCCTGATGTGAACTTTCAATGAGAATCTCTTATACCTCCTTTTATGCCTCCAATTTGCCCACTATAGCGAGTCAGCTAGTTACCAACAAATGGCTCTGGCAGCCATTTTGAGAGATAGTTGTTAAACATACAAGTGTCGCTGAATCTGACTGTTACAGAAGAATGTGTGCATGAGTCAAGTACAAGAGGAGAGAACACATTTAGTAAAAAAAAAAAAACCCAAAAAACTTTCATTTGTTTAAAAACGGCATTTTATATGCCTAAAAAAGTGGAAGGCAATACTTTTGCTGAGTAAGCACAGGCCTTTTATCGCTTCCTTTAGACTATGTTAAAAAGTCCAGATGAGCATATCATATATTCCTAGATAGTTTTTTCTACCCCACAACAGATCAGATACCAAAGTTTGGTACTACAATAATGAAAAAAAAAAAAAAAGAAAGCTGTTCTTTTGGTTCTGGAATGGGGAAAATATTTCTGAGTGCACAGGAATTGAAGTGAGGCATTAAAACAGTGGGTGGACTAATGTCCTTGTTAACACACTTGCAGTACCCAAGTTAAACATTTTCAAACCCCATGGGGTTCAAGGGAACCTAAAGGGGACAATCCTGTGCATGTTCAGGCAGACAAAGGGCCTACATCTCCCAGTAAGTCCAACTAGCTGTGCTTAAGTGACGTGTCATGCCTATAATATTCCCATAGTCTCCTCTTCATTTCTTCAATATTTTAAATATTTTTAACAACTTAGTGCAGCCACATCAAACCTGGTGCCTATCAACTGCACGGTATGCAACTATTGTGAAATGGGATTGCCTCTGATAATCCAGAACAGTTAAGTGCTTCTGAAGCCCCATTCAGCTCCACCAGGGAAGTTTACACTACATAGAATCATAGAAGAGTTGGTAGGGGCCATGAAGGCCATCAAGTCCAACCCCCTGCTGTTGCAGGATGCCAATTTACACCATCCCACTCAGATGGCTGTCCAGTTTCTTTCTGAATGCCTCCAGTGTGGGAGAGCCCACCACCTCTTTAGACAACTGGTTCCACTGTTGTATTGCTCCGACAGTGAGGAAGCTTTTCCTGATGTCCAGTCTGAATCTGGGTTGCCATAGCTTGAACTGATCATTCTCTGTCCTACACTCTGGTATCAGCAAGACGAGATCTTGACCTTCCTCTTTGTGACAGCCTTCGAGGTACTTATAGAGGGATATGCTGTCCCCACTCAGTCGTCTCTTCTCAAGGCTGAACATGCCCAGTTCCCTCAGTCTCTCCTCATAGGGCAGTGTTTCCAAAACCTGGATCATTTTTGTTGTCCTCCACTAGACATGATTACTTTCTCAGTGAAATCCATGGTGTTGAAGGATACAATTTTAAATACTCTTATTCCAGCTTAAGCTCACTGAATGCAGACTTACTCCTGCATTCAGCATTGCAGAGCCCGGGCTTCTTGTAAGCCCCCTTACTTCTGAGCTAGACTTACTTCTTTTATTGCTATCCAACTTTATTTATTGTAAGATAATACAGATTTTAAATAAAGCATTGACATGGCTAATAATAGGCAATACTTTCTTAGTTTTAGGGGATATTATGTATTTCCCTCTATCCATGATATAGGAAACTATTTTCGTACAAGGGCAGGTTTACACACAAACAGCAGGTTTCCTCAACCTGATGCCTTTCGGATGTCCAGGACTTCAGTTCAGGGGCCACCAAATTGGAGAAGGCACCGAGGGTTGAAAACGCACGCACGCACGCACGCCGCCCCACGTAAAGCACAAGTAAATCTCATTATCACGACCAGCACATCCTCCAGCCCCCAAGCTGGAAACCGGAAGGAGTCAGGAGGATTTAAAGTACTGAGTTCCGCCCAAGAAAACACACTAGCATTCCTACCCGAGTCCCACGGATCACCTAGGACCGCTAGCTCTTGTATCCTTACCTGGTTCGGCATTTCCCCATGAGGTAGAGCTTGCAGAGGTGGAGGCGACTGCAGCCTGAAAAACATTCCTTCCGAACGCAGACCCTGACGGAGGAAACGGCCAAGACCCAGGTGGAGCTCCCTTCCTTTTGTATCACAAATCTCTCCTGCCCCACATCTTCCAGGATCTGCCGCACCTGCTGCTCGGGGAGCTGCACCTCCTGGAAGAGCTCCTGGAATCCCAAGCGGCCCCCTTTGGAGCACAGGACCTTCGTGATAAAACTGCACACGACGGGATCGGACATGTCCGCGGCGCCTTTCCTCCAGCCTCTGAATGAATTCAGTGCTTCGCCAGCGGTGGCTTTGCTCAAGTGAGCGGCTCGCATAGGAGAATCGAAACTGAACGGAAAGCGAGCGCTGGGCGTGGCTTGGAGCGGCAGTTTAGCGTTGAGGAGCTTGATTTTTTTGTAAGCCCTCCCAGCGCTCCCTGAAGAAAGGAGGCGCCTCGACGATGCGCTGTTTCTTGTTTCCAGTTCCTTACATTTCTAGCTTCTTATGTTACTCAGAGCTGAGTCAGCAGGGTGAACACGGAGACGAAGTTTGCATCTTGTTGCACACCGTTAGAAGCTTAGGGCAATAAAATAATACCTCTCTCTTGAAGGATAACCCCCTCAAGATTTACCAGCATTATCTCTGAGAAGGAGAGTTCTGTTTTTATGCAACGTTTAACCTGTGATGCCTTCAGCCACACATACGAATAAGGAGCTGGACATTTTATGCCCCCGGGCAAGCTTTCTGCTAGCCCAAATAACACATTTACAACACCGGGACACTGTCCCCTGCAGGATATTCTGAATGGTCACCCATCCACAAATACTCCGAGAGACTTAGAGAGCAAAAACTTGATGTGTGTGTATTAAAATGCAAAATAAAATAATTAAAACAGCGAAACATAAAATGCAGCATCAAACTTTCCTTTTAGTCAAGAGAGTCCTTTTTGTTCTATCCGTAATGTTAATGTGTGCAGCAAAAAATGCTTTGCACCAGAGACCGCGCTAGCACATCTTGAGAGGCACAAGGGGGGTGAGGTGGGGAAGCAGAATTGGTAAGCTGCAAAGCTTGCACCACAAGCAGTCCTCTCTTGTATATCTTATTACACAGGCAGCCCCACTCTCTCTGGGCAAGATATTCAAACAAGTGGTTTGTTTATTTATTTAAAACATTTTTATGCCGCCCTCATCGCAACAAAGCCTCGGAGCGGCTTACAACAAAAAGAAAGATGCAGAAAATTATACAAAAACAAAGATATACAATAAAAATATTAAAACCCGGTGCATCTCGGCTTAAAAATTTGAAAATCCTACACAATAAATTAACACTTAAAATAAGTTTTCAATAAAAAGGTCTTAGCCTGGCGCCGAAAAAAAAAAAATAATGACGGCGCCAGGCAGACCTCTCTGGGGAGCGCATTCCATAGGTGGGGTGCCACCACAGAGAAGGCCCTCCTCCGGGTACTCAGCCTCCTAATATTCACGGAGGGTTCCCGGAGAAGGGCATCCGTTGCTGATCTCAAGGGGCGGGAGGGCATATATGGACGCAAGCGTTCCTTTAGATACCCAGGACCCAAGCCGTTGAGGGCTTTATAGGTCATAACCAACACCTTGAATTAGGCCCAGACTTCAGTCTGGAGCCAGTGGAGCTGACGGAGAACTGGGGTTATATGAGAACAATGCCCAGTCCCCATCAGCAGCCTGGCAGCTCTATTCTGCACCAATTGACGTATCCGGACCGTCTTCAAGGGTAGCCCCACATAGAGCGCGTTGCAGAAATCTAATAGGGAAGTTACAAACGCGTGTGTCACTGTCGCCAGGCAATCATTCTCCAGGAAGGGACGCAGCTGATGGATCAGCCGAAGCTGAAGGAAAGCGCTCCTCGCCACCGCCGTCACCTGGGCTTCTAAAGACAGCTCAGGGTCGAGCAGCACTCTTAAGCTGCGAACCCTGTCCCTCAGAGGGAGTGCAACCCCATTTAGGACAAGGCCCAAGTCCCCCATCCTGAGGCCCGAACCACCCACCAACAGGACCTCCGTCTTGTCTGGATTGAGCTTCAGTTTATTGGCCCTCATCCAGCCCATTACCTCGGCCAGACACCGGTTCAGCACAGCCACCGCCTCACCTGGATTGGTGGAAAACGAGAGGTAGAGCTGGGTATCATCAGCGTACTGATGATTCCGCAGCCCACACCTGCTGATGACCTCTCCCAGCGGTTTCATGTAGATGTTGAATAGCAAGGGGGACAAAATGGACCCCTGCGGAACTCCATGGCGCAGAGCCATAGTCCCCGAACACCACCTTCTGAAATTGGCCGTTGAGATAGGACCGGAACCACCGCCACGTGGTGCCTCCAACTCCCAATCCCGCTAGCCTATTCAGAAGGATACCATGGTCGATGGTATCAAAAGCTGCTGAGAGGTCCAGGAGAACTAACAGGGACGCACTCCCCCTGTCTCTCTCCCTGCACAGGTCATCATACAGGGTGACCAAGGCAGATTCAGTGCCATACCTGGGTCAGAAGCCAGACTGAAATGAGTCCAGATAATCAGTCTCATCCAAGAATGCTTGGAGTTGTCCCGCCACCACCCGCTCTAGCACCTTGCCCAGGAACGGGATGTTGGCCACCAGTCTATTATTGGCAGCCACCTCTGGATCCAGGGATGCCTTCTTTAGGACTGGCCGGACTACCGCCTCCTTTAAAGGGGCAGGTACCCGGCCATATCTTAAAGAGGCGTTGACCACCTCCAGGATCCAGGTCCCAATCCCGTCCTTGGCTTTCTTAAGTAGCCAGGATGGGCATGGGTCTAGTAAGCAGGTGGTAGGGCGTACTTGTCCACATCATCAGGCCGCAACAACTGAAATTCATCCATTAATTGTGGACTCGATGGCGTCGTTGGCATCTCCTCAGTAGAATCTGGTTCAATAGTAGAGTCAAGCTCGTGGCGAATCTGAGCGATTTTCTCCCTGAAATGCCTGGCAAAGTCGTCACAGCGGGCCTTTGAGGGTGGTATGAGATCTTTCTTTGGGCCTGGATGTATCAGCCCTTGCACCACCCGAAAGAGCTCCGCCGGATGGCATTGTGGGGAGGCAATGGAAGCGGAGAAGAATTTCTTCTTTGCCGTCCTCACCGCCACAGCATAGGCCCGATAATGGGCTCTTAAGTGTGTTCGGTCAGATTTGCCCCATGATCTCTGCCACCTACGCTCTAGACGTCTCCCAACTTGCTTCATCGCCCGTAATTCAGGTTATACCAAGGAGATGAACGGGCTCCGCCAGGTGGGAGAGGACGCTTAGGAGCGATCGTGTCAATAGCCCTGGTCATCTTCCCATTCCACAATTCAACCAGGGCATTGACAGGATCACCAGCCTTGTCAACCGGAAAACCCCCAGAGCTTTCAGGAATCCATCAGGATCCATCCGGCTCCGGGGGCAGACCAATACAATCTGGTCTGCACCCTTACTGAGGGAAAGGCCGCTCTCGAGCTCGAACATTATGAGGAAGTGGTCTGACCATGACAAGGGTGTCAAACTTAAATTCCTCACCCTCAGATCACCCTCTTCCTGCCCCGTCGAGAAAATCAGGTCCAGAGTGTGCCCACGTTCATGGGTCGGGCCACTGACATGCTGAGACAGCCCCATGGCCACTATGGAGGCCATGAAGTCCTGAGCCACCCCGGTTAGAACTGTCTCAGCATGGAGATTTAAGTCCCCCAGGACCAACATCCTGGGAGCCCTCAACACCAGGTCCGAGACGATCTCCGTCAGCTCAGGCAGGGAGTCTGTTGGGCAGAAGGGTGCACGGTACACCAACAGAATCCCCAATCTGTCTCAGTCGCCCAACACCAAGTGGAGGCACTCCAGCCCCGGCCTCGAGAGGACAGGATGCCCCAAAATGGAAATAGAAGCTCGATAAACCAGAACGACCCCCCCTCCCCTCCAGGCATGGTTGGTGCTGGACCAGGTACCCAGGCAGACACAGTTGTGAGAGGGCGACATCCCCCCCTCACCTGCCCAGGTCTCTTTGATACAAGCCAGGTCAGCCCTCTCATCCATGATCAAATCATGGATGAATGTTGCCTTATTTTGGACCGACCTGGCATTAAGCAACAGCACTGACAGGCCTGGGGGGGCAGCTGACAAGTCTACCTGGAATCCGACGGTTGGGGGAATAACCAGAAAGAGGGACAGGTGTTAACCATCTGTCCCTCCTTCTTCTATGCAGACCCGTTAGACCCCCCAATGCCATAACGTCCATTGCCCATCACCACCCCAATGGTGGCGCCCATGCGCTCCCCAGGCAACATCATAGTAAAGCACGAGATGCTCCAATTAAAAGCAACCTAAAACCGACAATTAAAACTACTAAAAACATCCTACTTAAAACCACTGCTAGCCCACAAACGAAACCAAGGCCAACCACCAAAGCCCCCGGCCAGCCTAGCCCCCCACTTTGGCCCCCAAACGGCTCCCAAACGGCAGCATCGCCAGCCCCCGGATGCCACCGGCGCTTTGTAGGCCGCAGGGCCCCTCCCTGTGCCCCACCCTGCCCCGGTGCGTCTCTCACACACGCCCGGGGAAGCGGGCTGGAGCAGGGGCCTGGGCCGGTGGTCCTGGCCTCGGTGCGGCAGCGGCAGTGGCAGCAGCAGGCAGCGGCAGCGGCGGAACAGCGGCGGGGTCCGGGCGGCGTGGATGGAAGTGGGGCCGTCTGATGCGCTGGTTTGCTCCTGGTTGTTGGTCAGCTCCAGGATCTCTTGGATGAAAGTACTTTTCTAGATCCAAGCCAGGATTGAAGTCAGGCTGAAATGGACTAGAAACTTCATTAGTCACCGTTTGAGATGATCTTCACAGAAGAAGGTCAGTGTGACCCTCTTGCTTCTCTTGGAACTCTTGGTGGCTTTCAATACTATCAACTTTGTTATTGTCTCAATAGGCTGAGTTGGAATGTGGAGGCGCTATACTGCAGTGGTCCCACTCCTAGTTGGTGGCCAAATCCACAAGGTGGTGACTTGGGCTATGGGGGTGCCCTGGGGTTCTATTTTATCCCCAGTACTTTTCAACATTTTGAAGGAAGTAACTCAGTGATTGAGAAACAGAGAGGAAAACAATCATAAAACATGTCTGAAAGAATGTGGAGGGAAGAAAAAGATAATTGGCTTGAAAGAAAGTTTGCTACTTCCTATCTCATCCTCCCAGTAGTTTTATGAGATAGGGGGTCATAGGGCAAGGTGAAGATAGAGAGGGGTGAACTAATGAACTTGTAGTTATAAGCATGCAGGCGTAATAGGTTGGTGAATATTAACTCACACACCTTGAA